CCCGTAGAGGGACTTCTTCAGCTGACAGACCCTAGGATCCCCTTCTCCGTAGGTGTGAGGCTTCTCCACGAAGACGGTGGCGTCCACCAACGCGTATAGAGACGCTTTCTTCACGTCGATCTGTCGCAGTGGTAGGTGCTTAGCGGCGGCAATGGCGAGTAGGATCCTGACGGAAATGTGACGACTGACGGGAGCGAAGGTCTGGTCGAAGTCGATGCCGTGGCGCTGATCGTACCCACGTACGACCCAGCGTGCCTTGAATTGCTCGATGGTTCCGTCAGCGTTAGTCTTCAGGCGAAAAACCCATTTTCCGCTGAGTACCCTTCTCCCCTTCACTGCTGCACGATCGACTAGGACCCATGTGTCTCGAGATTCCAGCGCTTTCAGCTCCGCATCCATCGCTGCACGCCACTCCTTGGCGTGCGGGCCGGTCAGGGCCTGGCGAGGATTCTTTGGCTCCATGGCCCGTGCGAGTGTAGTGACGGACGTGTGCAGGCCGAGGAGTTGCAGGCCGGACACATTGGTGGTGTCTGTGTTGGTGGGAACTTCCACCACGTCGTCGTCTCCGCTTTCGTAGCCGGGCGTTGTGGTGCTTGCCTCTGCTTGGCGCCGTGACGGACCTGGCGCGGGATCGTCGTCACTGTCATCGTCGTCGTCGTCGCGCGGGCGAGGCGGGATGCTGGGGTGTTCGTCGGTGTCGTCGCGGTCCAGTGTTACTGCTGCTGCCTCGTCTTCTGGAGTCGCGAAGCTGCGACCGCTGTTCACATAGCCGCGTGCCTCGTTGTGTCGCTCGTCCGCGATCCACTGCTCCAAGGTGAGCCGTTCGTAGAAGAGAATATCGCGCGCGGGAACAACCTCCTTGCTGTCCATGTCGAGGATGAGCCAACCCTTGTGCTCATTACTGAGGCCCAAATGGATCCCCCAGCGCGCGCGGTGAGCGAACTTGCTGATGGTGGCCGATGTGGGCCGGTACTGCACCATGCACCCCCAGACCCTTAGCATGGAGGGGTCTCCCCTTGAGCCGGTCCACTTCATGTGAGGGGACAGGTTGTCCCTGTTGGCGGTAGTGGAGAGGAGGTTGTGCAGGCACACCGCATGGTTCATGGCGTAGGGCCAGAATTTCTTCGGCAGACCGGACTGGTTCATGAGGGCGCGCACTTTTGTCATGAGGGTGCGGTTAACCCTCTCTGCGACGCCTTGCTGCTGGTGAGCGTAGGGGAGTGAGATCTCATGCTTGATCCCCTTCTCTGTGAGGACACTCTCCAGTTCGTTGCTGCGGAATTCCTTGGCCCCATCACTCTGCCAGATCTTTAGCTTCCTTCCTGACTGTCGCTGCGCGTGCGCGAGGAAGATGCGAAACACTTCCGGAGCCTTGGAGCGAGCGTCGACGTTGGCGATCCACACATGGCGCGAGTAGGCGTCAATGAAGGTGAGGGTATATTTCTCGCCGTTGATGCCGTCGAAGGTGAGCACAATGAAATCGCTGTATACTTTCTCCAACTTCTTGTAGCGGTTGGTGCTCGGCTCCAGGGAGGGGTAGGCGATGTGGGAGAGAGCAGCTGTGGGGCAGACAGTGCAGGTGACTGGGTGAGGGGTGTTGTGTGGTTCTGTTCCGTCGGGGCGCAGCAGTGCTCCTGGCGGAAAAACTTTAGCGCGGAGGCAGTTGGCGAGGGTCTGGCGCGAGGGGTGTCCCAGCCGCTGGTGCCAGAGATCATCTTCGGCGCGGATGCCGGAAGTGCGCTTGTAGCGAGCGAGGTGTTCTGCCGCTTCTGTTTCCGTGTCTTGCGGGATCTGGAGTGGGGGTTCTTCCTCTTCTCTTGGTTCCGCTTCGTTGTCCGGCTCCACTGCTTCTGCTTCCGCTTCCCCCGTTGTCTCCCCTTCTGCAGGTGCCGTTGTGAGGTAGAGGGCGAGAAATTCGCGGTCAGGGATGATAGTGAGCAGAGTCGTGGTGCCTTCAATGAACCGGGCGAAAGGATCTGGGCGGGAGATTGGACCAAGTGAGTCCCGTGGAGGAGTTGGTGGTACATTCCCCTCCTCAATCTCTGACCAACGATCACGCCACCGATAGGGGGAGGAGGGAGGTGAGCGGGTGCACGGGGGTCGACCGAGTGGAATGGCGACACAAGGGGATGGTTCTTCATGCTCAGCTTGCAGCTCGCGTTCCATCTCTTCTTCTTCTTCTTTGGTGAGCGGAGCGTCCACGTATTCGTCTTCTCCCCATCCGCCGGTGTTGCCCCATCCTCTCGTGGTGACCGTGCCGCTGGCGCTGGCTCCCCATGCTCCAGTGGAGGATCCCCAGGTTGCGCCTTCTTCTGGTTCGTAATCTTCATCTCCCCATGCGCCCCGTCGTGCTGACTCCTCGTCCCATCCAGCCGCGACACGTTCCTCAAACAGTTTCTGTTTCTTTTCCGCCCGGGCCTTGTCTTCTTCTTCCTTGACGCTTAGCTCCTCTAGTGCGTCAGGATCTTTCCAAGCCGGGTCTACTTCGCGGCAGTAAACTTCGCGGGTGTAAGGACGCGATCGTCCATCTTCGTCGAGGGTGGTGGTGTTAGCTTCCAGGACGAACCGGAGGTTTTCCGAGGATGGCGCTGTTCGCTCCTCTCGCTGAAGTCCGAGGTCGTCGTTTGCTTCGCCAAAGATGTGGTAAGATGACACGGCGAGTTCTTCTGTAGTCATGCCTGTTGGTTCTGCCTCGGCGCTCTCCGCTTCCTGAATTGCCGTATACTCCTTTTCGACTTGGTCTGTGCGGCTCGCCGTGGGTGTGTGGCAGGTGGTGCAGAGTCTATTGATGTCTGGGTCGTGCAGGTTGATTTCGCGGGGATGAGGGCTGCGGCGAACCCATGGCCGTCCGTCTGGGTGCTCCCATTTGCTCATGTAGGCAAACTCGAGGGGAACGTCGGATGAAGCTTGGCAGGAAGGTACGTCGAAGTCGAGGACGTAGATTCCATTGATCGAGCGGGCTCGTCCGAGATATTTGAACGACTCGGGAGGGGTATCTGGAGGAGCGTATGTGAGGATGAGATCGCGTGTGGCGAGGTCCGTGGTGAGGATGACGCCGCAGTCGCGAAGTCACCAGGGTCGCCTTGTAGCGTCTATGGAAGTGAGGGTCTTCATCCTCCTTCCATCCCACCGGTACGTAGTGTTGATTGTCATGCGGCGGGCTTTCCCGCAAGGTGATTGGCAGGTTCCAATTCTGCTCGTCTTCGTCATACCGGTAATAGTGATCTTCAGTGAGGGGATTATTCCATCTTCTGGTTCAAAGAGTCTCCCTTAAATTTCATTTTCCTCGTCAGGTTCAGCAGTGCGACGTCGGCGCGTCGTCATATTTGCGATGATGTTCCTGGGAGCTCCTGATTGAGATCCTTGAGTTTGCTGATGTTGATGTTGCGCAGGAGGACGAGGTGTCTGATGCTGAGACTGAGGATGACGAGCATCTTTTCGGCCGACCCAGTTGTTGTGGTGAGTGGAATTTGGGTGGCGATAGTTGGATCGGGACTTGCATCGATCCGTTGAATGTCCGAAGACTTTGCAGATTTTGCAATAGTGGCGCCTTGGTTGTCGTCGCTCTTCACGGTTGTCAGCGTAGAAGGCGAGGCGCTCTCGGCGCGGCGCTGAGCTTGTTCTGCTCGAATATGTCCTGCTGTTCAGTCAGGAGTGCGGCGCATAGCGCGGCTTCAGAGATGATTCCTCACTGTCAGAGTAGCGCTTTGCAGGGCTTCCACTCTGGCCCGAGTCCTTGAAGGACTATGTTGACGAAGATCTCTTCCGAGATTGCGCTCCCATGCTTCGTGATCTGGTCACGGATGTTGCGACAGCGGTTAATATAAGAATTCGCTTTCTCCCCGTGCCCCATCTTTGTCTCCATGAGTTGCTGCAGGAGCCTGCTGGCTGTAACCGAATCCTTCGGCTGATAAACCTCGACGAGGTGCTTCTAGGCTTCCAAGGCTGGAGCGGCGCTCTCTTTGTAGGAGCGGGTGCTTAGTTGCTCTACAGGCGTCATGTTGCGTAGCAGCACGCTATACGCCATGAGGGACTCGCTGTAGTAGTGAGCCCTGGCGTCGTCAAAGATTTCCAAAGATCTGCGCTGTCTATAGGAGGAGCTCAAGCTCAAAACTCCATGTATAGAAATCTTTGCCGTCGAAGGCGGCGGTAGTCTTTATTTTTGAAACGCTGAGGAAGCGTGCTTGCGCAGAGTTAATGAATTCATCACTTGGACGGGGGGCAGTTGTTGTTGATTTGTCTGTGTCGAGGGAGAAGGTGTGTGTGGCGGTATCACGACTTTTCGTTGGCGGTTGTCCAGGTTGAGCTGGATGGGAAGAGGTTCCCGCATCGCCTTTGCGCAAATCTTTGAGTTCTTTCTTCATGGTTGAAAGTCGAGCGAATAACTGCTCGAGTGCGGCAGTGCCGATCGTAGTTGTCGCCTCATTTGTCGCAGCCGGGTTGGTTTGTCCTTCAGCCGTCAGATTAGCTTGGCCTCCGGATCCTCCGGCCATCTTGGTCTTGGAGCGAGTGCCGCTCGCCAGATCTTGGTTCGGCGAATTTCAAGGAAGTGATGATGTGAAGAATCCCTGAGTAGCTCTCATACCATGTTACAATCCCAAGTGGGACTTAGCGAAGGATCGCTCAGGGTTGATCGCATAGAAGTTTGAATCTCAGGTCAGAGTGAATGTAAATGACTGAGGTTTATACAGACGGTTTATAAAGCATGCATACATCGGGTTTATATAAGAGTACAGGGGAATACGAAGAGACCTAGACTAGCCATGTACTCTAAGGGGTACATTCCCTTATTCTAACCAAATTCAAACCGTGCGGCGCGGGAACCCGTTTCAAACCTGTTCCCGCTCTTTTCACTTCAAATGTTTCTGCCTGCATCGGTCTTGGTCATACGGTTGCTGCGTCGCTTCGACTCTTCTGACTCCTCGACTTCATACTCGGTAGAGTCGGCTCCTGCAGCATACAGGAATGCCTACTTATGTAATTTCATATCGCAACAGGGCAAGAGTAAAAGTCTGTTCAAAGCTGTAACGCTTGTTGTTGCCGCGGCGGATTTCACGACCAAGGGGGCTGTCCGTTATGTTATTCCAGGTTTCGAGGCCTTGGTCACTAAGCTCCCCCGTGCACGAAGTCGAGAAAGAAAGGACGGGTAACGCTCCTCCAGAACGGTTGCCAAGGACCTGGGCATGGAAGACAAAGGCACACTCCCTCTTAGAGCGTATTCCTATCCTCGTATCAAGCGAACCTCATATCAAGCTCACACTGAAAATTCCCCAAAACCCAAAACCTCTCGCTAGTTTTACCAGGCAAAAAGTACAATCTTGATACGAGGTGGCCTGATATGAGGCCGTAGGAATACGCTCTTAGTGTAACTGCTAATTGGACAAGGGGAGAGCTAGGGGAGGACGTGAGGAGGATAAAATACGATTCCTCACAAGCTTGAAATTGCATTTCATACCAGATTAGACAATGAAACTTCTGTTAGCAGAGGAGAATCGGGAGCATGACTAATAGATCACCACATGTGCTGGGAGATCACGTCAGTCCCAACGGCCTACATTGTCTGAGAGCGCAGCACCAGATCCTCAACGATGACTCTCATGATTTGGAAAGTGGAATAAACCTTATCAACTTCATAACTATTCGCCCGCCTCCGTCTTCGACTTTGATACCTTTCCTCTTACCCAGGTAGGCCCGATATTTCTCTGGCAGTGAAAAGGGACGGCGAGGGAGGGATGGGCACGGTGCTGGTGAGCTGATCGGACTGAAGAGCACTCCTTGCAAAACGGCAAGCACGACGGGTTCAAACATCATGCAGGCAGTACAATATTCACAACCGCGTCTGCTATTGGTAGCAAGCAAGGAGCAGCAAGATGCAGTGACGGCATGTGGACACTTACCTTCGACGTTTCCTTTCCACTTTAGACCACGCCGCCTGGCTTGAGCGGCAGAAGGTACTAGTACAGGAGCGCCGGCGGCGGCACCGTCGCTTGGTCCGAGTGACCGCGCGAGGGAGACGGGAGTGGGAGACGCGCAGCCGGCAGTGAAGAACGCCGCACCTGCAGGCAGCAGCAGCAGCACGAACGAACCATGACTCGATCGAAGCAGGAAGCATGACTAGGACATACAAATCCGAGTAATAACAACGCCGGTCAGCCAAAATTGTGGGAGCACGTAGAGGCGCTTACAGAGCAAGATGTAGGTGAAAGACACGTGCTTCATGATGGTGCCTGCTGTAGATCGAAAAGATGCTGCAACGTGCCACGCCGTGAGAAGTTGGCAGCTCAAGAATGAAAATTAATCAGCGAAGGAGCATATTTAAATACAGACTTAGACTGGGAAGTACGTGAGGCCAACGACCCCCAGCTCGCCTTCCACCTAACGACGAGACGAGGGGGCTATGGAGCACCCCCTTGCGATGCCATCGATGGCGGCGCCCCCTGGGATGCATCTTGAGCTGGCGACCCCTTGCGATGCATCTTGAGATACCAACCCCTTGGGGTTAGGGTTGGTTGGGATGGCACCGCCGTGCGTCCCAGTGGGGGTAGTTGACTTTCTGGTCGAACGCCTCTGGAGGCTGGGCTCGGCCTTTATCTTTTCCGCGTGCCTTGTAATATTTTCCCAACTGAAGAAAAGCCGACGAACCTCGGCGAGATGAACGAAATGAGCACGAAGAACAAGTGATGACGCTGTCGCAGTGTTAGGTTAGGAAAATTGAGAGGGGCTCCTTTCAAAACGATTCTACACCACCTTCTCCCGACGGCCCTTCACTCAAGAGAGTGACTCATGCCAACCAATTTCCGCCCTTCTGTAACCTCGGCTGCCTTTACCATACCACCGCCTTACCACCGCTTTGAGAGGGACGGAATTACATCTTAGGACGCGGTACAAGTGTCGATCGACCATCAATTGATCCGCCACCGCACTATAGACATGCTCAATGCATATACACCATCTTGAAACGTCTAAAAACGATGAAAACTATGATCCTGAGAAGATCGAACCAACACAACCCCGTCCTTACTGGACAGGACGTGCCAGCTTGGTGGTCGTGCAGTGACCCATCGCACCTCGACATAGCAAAATTGCACCGCACCTTACCGCTGGGCGCGCCCCAAGTCCCCCAAAAACTCGCCTACAGCCACCCGGTACCACATCTCACCCATAGCAACTGGTCAGAACGACCCCGTTGTAAGGGAATTGCTGTTCTGCTGTTCTGCGTCTAAAAATCGCATTACTCACAATTTAAATATAGAAGGGTAAAAGCGTGACTCACAAGTAAGGATACTCGTTGATGACTCCAATCTGCCCGCATCACACGCCTCAATCCGCCCGCATCCCACGCCTCAATCCGCCCGCATCCCACGCCTCAATCCGCCCGCATTATACGCCTCAATCCACCCGCATCCCATGCCTCAATCTGCCCGCATCTCTCACCAATCGACGCCCATATCCGCGTGCGTTTTCAGTGTCGATTTTTCTTCGTAGAGAATGTCTACCGCTGCCGCTATACTCCAGTCGCATCGCGGCGTGTTTTTCAGATAGCGCGTGAGACGAACACGACGGGATCCGCTTTGAGCGACGACGCCGCAAGCTGTGACGAGTGGGGTCGTCACGGCCTGCCTGCAGTCAACGACCATCAGGCACCACCGGGTCAACCTGCGATGCTTTCCTCTCTCACCACCTCCCCCCCAACCCCACCGCCCCCTCCCTCTCCCCCTTTTGCGAGCCTTCGCTTCTCCCTCGTGTGTGTTTTTTCTACCCTTCCTGCGAGCCCTTCTTTTTCCCCGCATGTGTGACTTCCATCCTCCCCCCCCCCTCACGTCGAACCTTCCTGCTTTCCCCCCGTGTGTGCCTTCCTTTCCCCACCGTTGCGTGCCTTCCTTTTCCCTACCCGGTGTGCCTTCCTCCCCCTCCCCCTGCGGACCTTGCCTTCCACCCCATACAATCTATCCGTTTTCCCCCTGTAGGTGTCTACCTGTCCTCTACCTTCGCTTCTTCTCCCCCACACCGCCTTCCTTCCTCCCTGCTTCTTTGTTTGATCACTCCCTAGTTCTCTTGCTCTCTTGCTTGCATGCCCTTCCCAGCACTCCACAGCGATTTTCACCATACATCATCCCCTGCAGTCCATCCTCCCATCTGTATGACCTTCTCTCCCCTCCTGATTTTTATTGCTTTCCTATCCTCTTTACTCCCTTCATACCTCCCTTCCACGCCACGCACGTAGGGTGTGGGTGGTGAAGCAGGGCGAAACCCCCATTGTTATCCTCCTGTCAAAGTCTACTGCAATCCTTCCTCGAAGGTCTTCGAGCTCAACCCAGAGTACGTCTTCCGCGCCGTGAAGCACGGACATCAAGCCCTTTCGTCTTTCTATACGCTTTCGATTGGCTTCCCTTGTGGCCCTTACTTACCGTATTTACCCGGGTAATGGACCCCCCAAAATTATAGACCCCCGGGTCGTTAAATGGGGGGGGTTCTAATGCTATATGTACTTTCGTAATAGACCCCCTTTGTTTTAACGAATCCGGATTAGACCCCCCTCACTGTATATACTTCTATTTTTAGCGAGACTGTGAGAAGGGACAGCTTGCTGTAGCGAAATTTGACTGACTTGACTGCAGAATCTGACGCGCGCGTGCCTCGCGTCAGGCTGTGGTCAAAATTTCCCTGACGCAACATTGGAATTCTCGTTTCTGGGGCTGGAACACTGGTATTTTAATTGACTTAGAAAATACAAATGCACATAGGATTAGACCCCGGGTTTATTAAATTTACACCCACTTAATAGACCCACCCCCCTTTTGTTCCCGGGGTAGGATTAGACCCCCGGGTTTATTACCCGGGTAAATACGGTACTATGGTGCGCCTCATTTCCAGCCATCAAATCCAAAACTCTATGTACCATAACAGACCCTGTTGTTCCTCGTTCCTTCTGCTTGACTGCACGTCTGCGACATCAACAGGGTCTACTCCGACAAGCGCCTCGTCCTCCCATAGCCTCGCACGTATCACCCTACGGGCCTAACGCATATCGCCCTGCGCACACCTACTCACCTGCTTCATGTGTGTTACCTTACCGGTACATGGAAATCGATACAGTAGTTTGAAAGAAGTTTGGTTTATCTCAATGTCTCCTGATTATAATATTTATAAGATACCATACCGTTTCCCTCCCGTCCGGTAAGAAATTTTCTCGGCATTCCTTACGGAGCCCGACTACATCGCGTACAGCAACGGCCGTTGTTCGCCCGTTACTGCTAACGGGACTTCGCCGACTTCGCGCGCACTGTTTCACCAAACCTCGCACTGCTGGCCTGGCCGTGTCGGCCTACGCTTCGGGACTAGCCCGAGCCTCGCTTCCAGCGTAGCACTAGCTAGCTCGCACGCACCGCGTTACCGTTTGCATGTTTCGCGTATAAATGTTCGCTCACGCCTTCGCTCACATTTTGTACTCGTTTTGACACCTTAGTGCAACTCTCGCTACTTCGATTCATTGCACCCGTAACACTTGGTATCAGAGCCTCTTTCCTTTTCGGACCGCGCATCTCCGCACCCCAGGAAATTAACTTTTGATTTTTCACTCGAAGGGACTCACGTACCTTAGCACCTAGGAGCCGCTGTCCTCGCGTTCTCTCGTAAACGCGTGCAGCCACGACTGCGCCTAGACTAAGACGAGCCGACGCCCTTCAAAATGGCTGAACATATCGACGTCACGACTCTCACGCAGGAGCACTTGAACGATCTGCTGCGACAAATCCGCGAGAGCGCCGAGGAAATCGCGACGCTGACGGCAGAACGCTCGTCCCTGCAAAACGACCTCACACGAGCACAATCCCAAGCACCTGGCACTCCGATTCAGCCCGCACCATAGGCATCACAGCACGGAAGTGTGGGGCAACCCGCGAGCGCTGCAAGTGATGGCGTCGTCCGCCATGACGGAGACGACGACCACGGCACGACACACCCCGACGCGACGAATGCGGCCAGGACTCAGCCTCGAGTCACGATTTCAGTGCCGGCCGGCGAATCAGCTCTTCCGTCGCCGATGCGGCTAAAGCCGCAGCGTCCGCCATGCTTTGACCCAAGTCAGCGGGGTGGTCCTACTGTTCAGGCGTGGCTCTTCACGTTGAACGTTTTCTTCGACGCGAACTACGTCTCGGAGGATACGGCGAAGATTCGTTACGCCGTGTCGTTGCTGCGAGGACCCGCCATGGACTGGTGGCGCGTCATCGTCACGAAGCCGGTAGACTACGCGACTCTACCGACACGGGAAGGACAAACCGGACCCTGGGCGCCGTCGTATTTCGTGGAGGTGCCCCAGTATCGCACGTGGGACGCGTGGTGCGCAGGTCTGCGCGCTCGTTTCGAGCCAATCGCGGCTTCGATCGCGGCGCGACAGAAGCTCCGCACTTGGCGCCAACTCGGTTCCGTCCAAGACTACACGAGCGGATTTCTGGCGCTATGCGAGCAGGTGGGATATATGCACGAGAGCGAGCGCATCGACCGCTACATCGGCGGCCTGAAGAAGGACATCGCTCAGGAAGTCCAGCTTCGCGGCGTCACCGACTTTCAAGAAATTCTCGCTATGGCGGAGAAACTTGATTTCTTCCGCTGACCGAGACCGGGGTCCTACGGAAGCAGCCATTGGGGACATCGGCCTCGTGGGACGAACGAGGGCGCCACGATACGTGCCGTCGCCGCAAATGCCGTTGCCGCACCATTCAAAGGGCGCTGCTTTGCGTGCAATCGGCCGGGACATCGCAAGAGCGAATGTCCGGAAAACGCTAAGGGAAAGGGGGAAGCTGAGCAGCAGAAACAGACCAAGTGTCAGAATATGTTGTTTGTGTAGCCTGCAGTGGGGTACTCAATAGTGAGTACAACCCCTTAGGGTTTGCTATTTGTATCCTGCTGCTTGCTAGTTCAATCAATCCTTCTCATTCTAACATGGTATCAGAGGGCGGCGTGTCTCTGCCCCCTTCCTGTGTATGGGCTCACCACCCGCTTCCGCTGCCGTACTGTCCGCCGCGCGCCCCGTGGTGCGCGGCGCCGAAATTAGGGTTTTTGCCCTCCGCGCGCTCGGGGCGCGTGGCGGCTTACCCCTCCGTGGCGCCCGTCGTGGCGCCCGTCGTTTCTACTGCTACCGGGGGCCCGCGCGGCCTCCCCTCCCGTCGCCCGTCGTGGCGACCACGGGGGCTCGCGCGCGGTCCCCTCCCGTCGTCCGTCGTGGCGACCTCGGGGGCCCGCGCGGCCT